AAAAGGTGAAAACATTCTTACTTCTGAAGTATTTGTGAATGAAATAGTCTGATGTTAAAATACTCCAACAGTCATTCAGTCAGTAATGGAACAGATGAAATAGGATGGGTAAAATGTTGATAATTACGGAAGGTGTGTGATGGATACCTGAGGATTTGTTATGCTGTTTTCTCTACTCTTATGTGCATTTTAAAATATCTATAATGGAAAATACTTTTTAATTTGTTTCATATTAAAAAAATGTAGCCCTTTCTAATCGCTCAGTAATTAAAATTCAGTGTCCCTTTCCTTTGTATTGAAACATATAAGTATGAACATTCTGGATACAGTTTTTATTTGATGATTTTTAATTAAATAGACCAACTTGAAAAAGGGCAATACTGTGTGGTAGATTAAAACTGAGCTCTATGGGAATTGGATTCAGTAATAGAATTTGTCCTCCTCAAACTGGTTTTGATGAGATTCAGATTTCATAATGCCCCGCAAAATATTTTTCCATTTCTCTTTTCCTTTTTGTAATTTCCCAGTTAATTTTCTTCACCACTACCAAGAGTAATTTCATAAGATAGGCCTTCAGAGGACCCTGTTTTTAAAGCATAGCTGCATATCACTCTTCTTTTTATATTTAACTTAACCATTTGCCATGTCCGCTCTTTGATTGGGAGTGGAGCCAGAAATTGGGACTGGGGAAAAGGTAGACGCGCAGACTAATGTGAGACGTGCTTTCCATCCAGATTACTTCTGTTCCTCGTTCAGTCCAAAAACTTTGATTAACTCTGTCTGCAAGGAACTGTATAAGGCCTAACAGGGAAGATGAACAGGTCAGGCAAGGTCCTTGCCCTCTCTAGGAAAGAGAGGCTTGAGCTGCTGGGTTATCTCATTTGGTATGTAATACATGCTGGTAATGTCCAGAGTGCTATGAGAGGGGAGGATCTGGTCTGGGGGAAGGGACTGGGAGGCTATCCTTGAGTCTGAAGAGACAGTAGGAATGAACTATTCAGGTGGAGATGTCAGAGGACAGGGTTCAAGGTGAAAGAGCTTGCTTGCTTGCAAGGATAGGGCTGAGTCTGTGTGCCTGGAGCAGTTAGCATTTTGGCTGTTACGCTAAGATCAATGGAAGAATAGTGAAGATTTAAAACTTTTCCTATGATACATTTCGTGCATATAAAATATATGTGAGTTGTAAAAATACAGAGTGAGCACTTACATATTCATCATTTAGGTTAAGAAATAAAGCATCACCTGTACCATTGGAGCTTCTGGTTGCTGCTTCTCTTCTTCCCCGAGGTTCTTTTCTCTGAGTCAGTCCTTCATCCTCCTTTTTCCCCCAAGAGCAACCATTATCCTGAAATTTCTGTTTATATCTTCTGTATGTTTCCTTTTAGTCTTATGCATATACTTGCACTCCTAATTCATGCATAGCTTTGCATGATTTTGACCTTTGGCTAAAAAGCAGCAGCATGAGTGAATCTCAGTGTTGAGTGAAGATGGTAAGTGGTAGGAGCCATGTAGTAACCACGTGGAAGCCAAGTGGTAGCAGAGGATGAGATGGTTAGGTAGCATCACCAACTCAGTGGACGTGAATTTGAGCAAACGCTGGGAGATAGTGGAGGTCAGAGGAGCCTGGTATGCTGCAGCCCGTGGGGTCACAGAGTCAGATACCACTTCCCAACTGACCAACTGACCAAATGGATTGGAGGTGAAGAAGAGTGGAGGAGGGAGCTGTTAGAAGCATCCTGTAATGTAGGTGGTCGCTTACAGTTGATGGTTGTAGCCTCTTCAGAGAAATTATATACAAACTCATGGCCCGTTGGAGTCCCATCCCTCTGAACTGTTTGACCTTGCTGGTCTTAAGATGTGATGAGCTTGCTTCCTACTTCAGGCTTGCTCTTTGCTTTGGAAACCTTTCCTCTCAAATCTGCAGGATTCTCTAGACTTACTGCACTCAGGTCTCTGTTCAGAGACATCTTCACTGACCACCAGCAGTGACCTGCCACCTCCCCACCCTTGTTATTATTTTCTAGTCTTCTTACTCTGCATTATTTTTCTGAATAGTTTTTTTTTTTTTAAATCACAGCCTGAAATTATATACTTATAGCGCATCTTCCCTTGCTAAAGTGTAAGATCCATGAAGGCTGGTACTTTATCTGTCTTGCCTAACACTATACTCTTCGTCCCTTGTTCATAGTAAACATTTATTGAATAGATTTGACTTGAGATTGGGATAATGGGATCCAGTCATTCCTTTTTGGCTGGCTCCCAAACATCTCTCTTGCTGTAAATTTTTTTCAGGGCTTGAGGTTAATGCCCAAACCCTGTCCTTCCTAGACATTTCCACTTGACTATCAGGCTGTCACCTCAAACTCACCATGTCTAAAATTACACATTATCACTCTTCCTCCAGTCTTCCAGTGTTAATGCCTCCATCGCTGACAGTCCCCAGGCACAAAACCTTGGTGTTATCTTGCAGCGTTCACTAGTCCCCATCCCGAGGGAGGTTTACGTCCCCATTTATGTCTCTGAGGGAGTTTCTGGTCACTGTTTTCACCTCTGCCCTCTGCTATTGACATTTTAGCCAGCCTTCAGGGCCTCACTAAGATTCTTCTCTTCTGGGCATCAAGCTGAATTTTCCATCCCACCAGTTTTGTATTCATGGTCTACAGTTTTTGTGTTTTAAACACAGTATCCTGGCTTACACTGTTACATTTCCATGTCCTAGTATTTTAAACAGTAAAGCAAACAAAAAGTATTTACTGATTGAGTCACCTTTATCTCCGTGTTTTTTATCCCATTTTAAACCTCACCACGTGTGTTCTGTTCTCGGTCTTGTTGTCCTACACCTTGAGGCTGGTCCCTTTGTCCTGTGTCACATGGAAGAGCTGGCAGCAGCATAGTTTTCCTATCTCCTGTCTTTTGTTATCACTGGGGCTGGATTTTCTCTGAGCCCATGGAGGCTCTTGAAGTTTTAAAAATGAGAAGTCATAAGGTTTCAAGTCCTGTGTCACATTGGAAATGTGTAGGGGCAGAGGAGTCTGAGCTAATGACGTTAGCGGTAGCTCTTTATAATTACTTAGCAACGATGCAGGTTGTGGAGATAAATTTGGTTTTTTAAATCATTATATTGCAATGAGCACAGACTCTTTAGGTCTCAAGATCTTCTCTGATTGCCTCCAAGCTTGTCTTTTTCCATCCGTAACTGACAGATGACTGCAGCACCTCTTTGGGTTTTGCTGACCCCACTGTGTACTTTGCACTCTGTTGCTGGGTTGTGATTTCTTTAGTGTTGTAACTGCTCTTCTCTCTTTCGTAAGAATACAGGCTGCAGCTGGGCCAGAACTAGAGTGGTGAGGTGCTTACCTTGGGTATATAATTTAAGTGAATGAAAGTGAAGTTGCTCAGTCGTGTCTGACTCTTTGCAATCCCGACCCAGGGATTGAACCCAGGTCTCCCGCATTGTAGGCAGACACTTTACTGTCTGAGCCACCCCAAAAAACTTCCCAGGTGGCACTAATGCTAAACAACTTGCCTGCCAGTGAGGGAGACACAGAGACACGGGTTTGATCCCTGGTCAGAAAGATCTCCTGGAGGAGGAGATGGCAACCCACTCCAGTATTTTTGCCTGGAAAGTTCCACGGACAGAGGAACCTGGCAGGCTACAGTCCATAGGGTCGCAGAGAGTCCGACAGGACTGAGTGACTGCACACAAACAGCTCAGGAGTCAAGATAAGTAATCTCTTGTGCTCATGCTAGTTCGCTTCCGTTGGTGTCAGACTCTTTGTGACGCCATGGACTAGAGCCAGTCAGGCTTCTCTGTCCATGGGGTTTTCCAGGCAAGAATGCTGGAGTGGGTTGCCTCTTCCGGTGGGTCTTTCTGACCCAGGGATTGAACCTGTGTGCCTTGAGTCTCTTACCTCTCCTGGATGGGCAGGCATGTTCTTTACCACAAGCGCCACCTGGGAAGCCCTAAACAATCTCTTAATGCAGTATTTTTGAAGTAAAAATTAACATAATCTACAATGAGCAAAATATCAAAGTTTTAAGTAAAGGCAGAATCAGTGTTACTAATTTTTTTGGTTTTAAATTGAGGTTCCAGTATGGCTAGGCATAGCATTAGGCAGCGGAGAACAGGGGACCCATACTTTAGTCGCCACAAACTCCAGACAGTCATACTGCCTACATAAATATGGTAGAGTTTTTAGATTCAAAATAAACCTGCTGGCTATTCACACTTAATGGCATATTCTTGGGTCTGGGGCAGGACTGCTTTTGTGAAGTTTAATTATGTGCATAATTTAGTTGAACTTAGCTTCCAGTAGTGATCTGTATATAACTTGTTGTATCTGATAACAGGATTAAAACTGTTTCCATAAGTTTTCAAATAATTCACTTGCAGTGGTTTACTGAGAGCAGCATTAGATAACTGAAGCTGTTTACCAAGAAATCTAAAAGGAAAACCTCATTCCTATATGCTTTTATGAAGAAAGACTAAAAAAGGGATATTAATTGAATACTTTCTGATAAACATTGACCTGGCAAGTGTTTTTAGATGACTAACTTTCTAATTTTCTCTGATGTTTCTTCAGGGTGCTGCAGACAGTGATTTATTGGGAGGTTTAAACACATGTATAATTTGTTTTAGTGAAGAAGGTCTTGGAAATACTCTGTAGGATTCTCAACTCTGTAGAATGGAGTTTTATCTGTTAGGGGTAAGTCTAGGGGAATGGACACGATGACCTTTCTCTGACACCATGTGGAGATTTGTAGAACTTTGATGTTTTAAGCAAGTAAATTAGTTGTTCTGACTATTCTGTTATAAACAGATAAGATGTAATGTTGAACTTGATGCTCTTGCCCTTTTTTTATTAAATTAATTATTTTAATTGGAGGGTAATTACAATACTGTGATCTGCCATACATCAACATGAATCGGCCACAGGCATACATGTGTCTCCCCCGCCCCAGCCCTTTCACTTTATAAATGACACTTTTAAATGTTTTAGGTGTACAGTGTTGATTGGAGCCAAACCAGAGGTGAACAGCTTGTGGTGTCTGGTTCATGGGATCAAACTGTCAAACTGGTATGTCAGCATTACTGTATTTAAAACCAAATATTCCCTTCCCCAGAGTGTCCACTGAAGTTTTTTATTTTCTAGAACATACTTCCCTTGCTTTTCAGTTAGACAGCTAATTTTCTTTTCAAAAAATATTTTACTAAAGCGTTTATTAGAATTTAAAATTTTCTAATCTTTGCGCTATAAATTAATAATTAGCTCAGCATTGATTATTTTGGCCTCTTAAATACTATATTGCTTTATATAAAAATATACTTTACATAAATACTTGAGATATATGTGTATATTGTATGTGTATATACATATTAACATATATATGGTATATATAGTATATATAAAGCATAAATTTTAGTTTACTTCTGTTAAGTAATTGATCTGTTCCTTTATTTGTAGTGGGATCCAACTGTTGGAAAGTCACTGTGCACTTTTAGAGGCCATGAAAGTGTCATTTATAGCACGATCTGGTCTCCCCACATCCCTGGCTGTTTTGCTTCATCCTCAGGTAAATGATATTTACCAAAAACCTTGTTTGTGGTGAATGGTGGCCTGACTTTCCCCAGAAGGTGGCGCTGTGTACCTTAGGTTTAGAGAAGAAAGCATTCCTACTTGAACTCTTGAGACTATTTCATTCTTTCTCAGTCTCCAGACAAGAATTAGCCACGCATGCTTCCAACCTTTTGCCTTAACACGTACTCTTTTGGTCAGGTGAGACGTAAGGGACAGAGTGAGGACTCTGACATCGGACTTGACTGAATTTGGAAACTCTGAATCAGTGGTCGATTGTGGGACCTCAGGGTGATGTGATGACTTTTCTCATCAGTAAAATGGGGCTAAGAATGTCTGACTTGTGGAGTTGTTCTCAGGATGAAATAAGGAAACACAGAAAATGTCCTGCACACAGGTAACCTCCTTTGCTTGATATTTACCCCCCTTTCAGGGACATTCTCTTTAATTCATTGCCACTAGGCCATAGCAAGACTGTCTTTGGTATGATCGTTCTTCCTGTGTGCTTTTAATTTGTCTTCAGTTCTAAGACTAAGTAGATACATACATTTATATATCTCTCTTTTTTATGGAGAGAAGTCATTTTATAGAAGTTTGAAAATTAGACTTTGTACCATTTGCATGAGGGTTTACAAATTTGGTTCTTTAGGCCGATTCATAAATTACATGTAATCTGAACAATATAACATATGTGATCTGTAGAGAAACATCGCACAGCTTGTCTGCAGTCCATTTAAAACATGGGCCACCTGCCAAATGGTCATTGAAAGAGCTGTCCTCCTCTTCACTCGCCCCTGGCTGCTCTGGAGCACCTCTCCCCGGCTGTCTGCCTCTCTCTCATACCCTGCAGCCCTGCCTTCACAGCTCTTGTACTTTCATTCTTTTACCTTTTTTTCCACCAGCCTAGCCTGTCATACTTCTGTGGTCCTGGCTTTACAGGAACAAGTTCAGTGGCAGGGTCCTCCCAGAGGGTGATGGGGAGAAGAGGCTTGAGACAGCAAGAACAATTTTCCTTTCTGTCCCTGGTTAGAAGGAAGAGTCATTTCCAGTGGGGAAACAGTATGTTGGAAGTCAGAGTTACATTCATGTGGTTTAGAATGCAATATTAATTCTTAGTAGTATCATAATATCTGTCACACCATGACTTTTCACAATTGAATTTGACAAGCACAACTATTAATGAACAAATATGGTTTAATTAATGATTAATTCATGATTAACGGTCTGTGTTAGGTAGATCATAACCAGTTATGAATCTTTCCAAGTTGGAAACCAGTCTAGCTTCTTTTATTAGTTACTGAGCTGCTTTGGCTTAGATAGCTTTATCTTTGGTTTATCAGAATAAGGTTGCTAAGACTGAGTAGCAGTTACAATATTGTGTAACATGTGTTAATTAATCATAAATGTTTGTGGTGATTGACAAGATAATATCAGCACTCCTTGTTTCTTGTATAACTATCAAAAAGTAAATTTATGAAGAGAAAACAGAAATGGTATCCCTGAAAATTTCTATTTGAGCATATATGTAGTAAAGAAATTCAGACAACACAGAATGCCAAGTAAAAAGTAAGTGCTCATTCCCCCTCTCCTACAGAACTGCTGTTAATAGCATTTTCTTGTATTCCTCCATAAGAAGTCTATGCCCATTCCAAAATGTATGTTCAAAAGATTAGAATTATTAATAGGGAAGGTATCTTTAAAGGCTGAATTTGCTTAGTGATGTTAGGCTTTACATGCTCATAGCTACAGAACTTTGGTTGTTGAAAACTGTATTTTCAAATGTTTATTTCAGGGCAGCAACATGTTATAGATTAGACAAACAAATAACAACAGCCTTCTTGGTCTAAGTGATGTCAATTTATTCTGATAATAAGAATTCTGATATTGTCAAGGTAACAGTTATTTTAAGATTTGGACCTTGAAATGGTATGTCCCCTCAGTCTTTTTAAATGTTTGCCAATCTGATGAATGAAGGTGATACCTGATTGTTGTTTTGATTCGCATATTTGATTACTGGGGAGAGTGAACATTTTTTGTATGTCACTTTGGCTACCATAGTTCTTCTCTGAGTCACTTGTCCATGTCTTCGGCCCATGTTTCTACTGAGAGCTGTTCGTTGTTGTTTTTCTGTGTTGATGTATGAGCTCTTTTTATATAGGAATTAATACTCTGTATCTTATATGTGTTATAAATATTTCCCCATTTTTTCTGTCTTTTGAACTATTTATTATATTTTAATTTTTATTCTGTTAGTGTCAAAACTTTTTGATAGTCACACTGTCAGTTTTTTGCTTGATATAGCCAGGTGTAATTCGGTACATGTTACTTAATTCAACCATGTTAATAAATAAATTATTTTTTTCCATAAGGCAGTTTGGGTCAGAATTTCTTTTACGTTCAACCAAAGATGTCCTGACTGTATGACCACTGTTTACATTAATTTCTAATACAGCAAAGGAAGGTAATGTCTTAAGCAGACAGTCTTTTTTCCTATTAAAGCAAGTGGACATTCTGTTGATAAAAGACTGTTTTTATAAACTGTTTACAAAGTATGGATAGTCAAGTTTTATGATTATACTGCTCACTGTCTACACACAGTTCATCTTTTTCTGCTATTCAGTCTTACACACGGAGTATTCTATATATAACATCAAGAGTCAATATTCTGTATCCACACTACACAAAAGGCCAGTGTAATACAAAGAGTTGTGTGTGTGACTCAGCCCAAATAAAGGGCTCATATATATACAATTCTGCCTGACACTTAAATCAACTGTATCAGTTCATGGGTTTGTCACTATCAGATGTATACATTGTAGGGGGCCAGTATTAACTAAGCTATCTCCATATCCAAGGCTTAGAATAAATCAGAAGGGATTTGATTAAAGCCTGGTACTGGACCTGTGAGCCATAACCTATGTACCTTTAAAAAACATTGAAATCAGTAAAGCCGTTTTCTGCCAGCTTTTCTAATTTTGGAAACTCCTTGGAAGGTTTATTTATCAAGCATTTGACATTTTCCTGAAATATTTCTTCATGATAATTTTCCAACATTAGCTTACTTAATAAAGTTGAAAAGATGTAAAGCTTACCTCCACTCTACAAAAGGAGGGTTTGTGGCATAGTAAAAGCTGGGGTAAGCTCTAAAACTCTCACTGTACCTTTGCCATTTCAAGAGAGACAAGAAAATTTGCTTCCCAAGTTGTGTGCAGTGCACTTCTTTGCATATTTTCTTTGCTTGAATTGTTTTCATTTATTTCCTATAGGGCATGTGTCTTCTTCAACATAGCTGAGTGCCTTACACAAGCAAATACTACAGTTTTTTGATTACTATTATATAAGCTATGGAAATAACCGTATTATCAAAATTTTTAAATATATTTAATAAAGGTTAATTTTGATTGTTGAAAGGGATATTGTTGGTGAATCATTCAGGTCTTTAGTGATCTGAATCACTAAATTAGCAACAGACCTGCTGTTGTCTGGGCACTGAAGTTACATTGAGCATGTAGTCCAGTGGGGAAGAGAGATGCTAAGGAAAAAAGCCTAGGGGCAGCAAGGATGAGGAGCATGAAGTTCTCTGAGAAAAAGGTCACAGCACAGTGGTTAGGGACGTGGACTCTGGAGCTGGACTTCCTGTGATCAGATTCTCCTTCCACTGCTGCTACATGGCTTCACTCACACTCCTTAACCTCTGTCTCTTCATTCCTCATTTAAAAAATAAGAGTGATAATAATAACCCGTGTTGTGGAGTTTTGATGAGGATTAGGTGAATTAATTCAGATACAAGCGTAACAGCTTAGGACAGTGCCTGGCACAGAGTAAGGCCTCTCTGAGTGGTGCCTCCTGTCATTCACATGTGTGCTCAGGATTCCGTGGGAACACAGCAAAGGGTTCTGGAGCCTGAGCAGTCAGTTCTTGAGCTTGTCAGAATTGGCTGGTCAGAGCGACTCCCTAAGGAAATAGTGCTTCAGCTGCTACCTTGTGAACAAGTAGATGAGATGAGAAGTGGGAGTAAAGCGATGAATGTGGAGAGTACAGGCCATGTTGGAGGAAAATTTGAATGGTCTTTGCATGCATTATGTGCTGCAAGGATAGAGTCAGTGCTTACCTGGGAACTAAAACTCTGGGAACCAAGTTCTAGGGTAGCTTGCTCCAGGTGGAATCTGAAATGTGTGCTTGTATAATCACATACCTGTCCAGTGATCCTGAAACCTGCCCACCATCACAGTCTGTTGCCGTGGTTTAGTTGCTAAGTCGAGTTTGGCTTTTTTGCAACCCCATGGACTGTAGCCCACCAGACTCCTCTGTTCGTGGGGTTTTCCCGACGAGAATACTGGAGTGGACTGCCATTTCCGTCTCCACGGGGTCTTCCTGACCCAGGGATCAAACCCGTGTCTCCTGCATTGGCAGGCGGATTCTTTACCCCTGAGCAACCAGGGAAGAGGAAGCTTAAAAAACAACAGAATTCTAGCCTTCATCTTAGTCCTACTGAATCAGATGCCTCTGAGAGGTATATTTTTTAATCACCCTAGCCGAGTCTAGTGATGAGCCTGATTTGGGAAACACTATACTAGTCTGTGATGTTGCTCTGTTTAAGATGTCTAAAGAATAGCTTATTTCTGTTGATGTGATGGAAATTTCGTGTTTATTTTTAATAGAAATATACTATCCCTTAAAAACTATAAAGTGGTTTCAGTGCCGAATTCAAAGAAGAAGCAGTTTCCTAAGATTGAGAACTTAGTTTTTTTCCTGAGTTTTGTCAGTTATAGTTTGAGATATATTATAGTCTTTTATCTATTAATTCTCTTTGTTTCTTGCTTACAGACAAGAGTTTGCTATGAAACATACTATAATATTTGCATAAAATAATCTCAACTGCAAAATTCATGGTTGAGGAACACAAAGTTGTAAAATATTTGTCTGCACAAATATTAAAAATGATAAGCAGCTTATATATTTGGCAGTCAAGACGTAGCTTTATGTCTAATCCTGTGG